TCAGCCTGTCCCGTGGAGCTTTGAAGCCAGGCATTGACTTCTCCTCTGTAGCTATGACAGTTCTAGATGGCATCTCCTTCCAATAAAAGGCTGTTTAGTCTACACTGTAAAACTGTTGTTTAGTGTAGCCACCTTCATCTATGATCTTGGCTAGATCTTCTGGACAACCTTCTGTAGCTTCTACATCAGCATTTGTTGCTTCACCTTGCTCTTTAATGTTATGAGACAGCTTCTTTCCTTCAACCTCAGGAACCAACATCAGCTAGTCACAAACTTTTCTTATGCAGCTTCCCACATCTTTCAGCCTTTATAGAATGGAAGAGAGTTTAGGCCTCACTCTGGATTAAGGTTTCGCTTAAGGGAATGTTGTAGCTGGTTGGATCTTCTATCCAGATCACTCATACTTTCTCCATATCAGCAATAAGTCTGTTCCACTTTCTTATCATTCATGTGTTCACTGGAGTAGCACTTCATAACTTGGCTAATTGTTTGCTGCAACAGGCCTAGTTTTCAGCCTATCTTGGCTTTTGACATGGCTTCCTAACTAAGCCTCATCATTTCTAGCTTTTTATTTAAAGTGAGACACATGTGACTCTTCCTTTAACTTGAGCCTTTAGAGGCCATTGTAGGATTATTAATTGACTTAATTTCCATATTTTTTTTTTTTGTCTCAGGAAAGAGGAAAGTCCAAGAGAGGGAGAGAGACTGGGGAACAGCTGGTCAGTGAAGCAGCTGAAACACATACAACATTTATTAGGTTTGCCATCTTATACGAACACAGTGTGTGGTGCCATAGCCAGTTAGAATAGTAACATCAAAGATCATTGTTGTCACTTTTCATACTACCATAACAGGAATAATAATAATAATAAAGTTTGAAATCTTGCGAGAATTACCAAAGTGAAACAGAGACACAAAATGAGCACGTGTTGTTGGGAAAAGGGCACCAATAGACATTTTTGACACAGGGTTGTCATAAACATTCAATTTGTAAAACTCACAATATTCTCAAAGTACAATAAAGCGAAGTGCAATCAAATGAGATGTGCCTATACCACAAAGAAACCTAAAAGAATAACATCAAATATGACAACACACATAGGTGACATTCAGTATATGTCACATATAAGTATTCTTGTTGTCCTAAAGCATGGGGAAAAAAAGACAACCCACTGGCAAAATATAAGTTCCAAGTACTCATAGAAGAAAAAGTAAAAATGGCCAACAACAAATGAAGAATGCTCAGCTGCACCAAAAATGAAAGCAATGCAAGTTAAAATAGGAATGAAATAAAACTTTTTTTACAGTTAAGTTGGCAAGATATTAAATGTTTATAATATCTACTGCATGTTATATTGATTTAAAGAGAAATGTAATGGTTTAAATGTATTCATTTAGATATATTACATAATTCTAAATGTGCTAATAAAACATAGAAAAAAATGGAAATATGTACAGCAAAGCTTATAGGGAGTACGTATTTTAAAATCAGGAAAAAACACAGCATAAAAGTGTAAGTAATTTGAAAAAATATAACTTGTTTAGAAGATCGAATATAACAATATAGGGTGAATTTTTTTTTTTTTTTGGTCTTACGAAAGGTATTGCTGCTGTAATAAATTACCATAAACTTAGTGACCAAAAAAATCACAAATTCATGGTCTTATATTTCTGTGGGTTAGACATCTGACATGTACCTCACAGGGCTAAAATCAATCAAGGTGTCTGCAGGGCTTTGCTCCTTTCTGGAGGCCACAGAGGAGCCTTTTCCAGCTTCGGAAAGTTGACCACATTCCTTAGTTGATGGACCCCTGCATCCATCTCCACATCCAACTCTATTCTCTCTGACCATTCTTCCATAGTCACACGTCCCTCTCTTGACAGGAGGATATGTTCTCTGACTTTAGGGGCCCATGTGATCTTACCTCAAGCTCCTTAACTTAATCACATATTCAAAGTCCCTTTTGCCATGTAAAGTAACAGATTATAGGTTCTAGGAGATAGGACATGGACATCTTTGTTTCTCTTGGTACAAAACCCTCAAGAATCTTACGGATCTCCTGCATTTATCATGGGGATTTCCTCCATCAGACATGAAGCTTCCCCACAGATCTTTCCTAGAAATTCACACATCTATTTTTTTTTATATTTTAAGTTCAAGGATATATGTGCAGGTTTGTTATATAGGTAAACATGTGTCATGGGTGTTTGTTATACAGATTATTCATCACCCAGGTATTAAGCCTAATACCCATTAGTTATTTTTCCTGATCCTCTCCCTCCTCCAACCCTTCACCTTCTGATAGGCCTCAGTGTGTGTTGTTCCCCTCTATGTGTCCATGTATTCTCATCATTTCATTACCACTTATAAGTGAGAACATGTGGTGTTCGATTTCTGTTCCTGTATTAGTTTGCTAAGGATAATGGTCTCCAGCTCCATCCATGTCCCTGCAAAGCACATGATCTTATTCTTTTTATTTTATGGCTGCACAGTATTCCATGGTGAATATGAACCACATTTTCTTTATCCAGTCTATCATTGCTGGACATTTAGGTTGATTCTATGTCTTTGCTATTGTGAACAGTGCTGCAATAAGCATACATGTGCATGTGTCTTTATAATAGAATGATTTATATTCCTTTGGGTATATACTCAGTAATAGGATTGCTGGGTCAAATAGTATTTCTGTCTTTAGGTCTTTGAGGAATTGCCACAGTGTCTTCCACAACCTTGTCAGTTGTAGTTTACAACTGACAAGGTTGAGCTAGTTTACTCTCCCAGCAACAGTGTGTATAAGCATTCCTTTTTCTCCACAACCTTGTCAGTATCTGCTGTTTTTAGACCTTTTAACAATAGTCATTCTGACTGGTGTGAGATGGTATCTCCTTGTAGTTTTGATTTGGATTTCTCTAACGATCAGTGATGCTGAGCTTTTTTTCATATGATTGCTGGCTGCATGTATGTCTTCTCTTGAGAAGTATCTGTTGATGTCCTTTGCCCACTTTTTAATGGGGTTGTTTTTCTTGTAAATTTGTTTAAGTACCTTATAGATGCTGGATGTTAGATCTTCATCAGATGCATAGTTTGCAAAAATTTTCTCCCAGTCTGTAAGCTGTCTATTCACTCTGATGATAGCTTCTTTTGCTGTGCAGAAACTCTTTAGTTTAATTAGATCCCATTTTTCAATTTTTGCTTTTATTGCAGTTGCTTTCGGCATCTTTGTCATGAACTCTTTGCCCATGCCTATCTCCTGAATGGTATTGCCTAGGTCATCTTCCAGGGTTTTTATAGTTTTGGGTTTTACATTTAATTCTTTAATCTGTCTTGAGATAATCTTTATATATGGTGTAAGGAAGGGGTCCAGTTTCAATTTTCTGTATACAGCTAGCTGATTATCCCAGTACCATTTACTGAATAAGGAAACCTTTTGCCATTGCTTGTTTTTGTCAGGTTTGTTGAAGATCAGATAGTTGCAGGTGTTTGGACTTATTTCTCGGTTCTCTCTTCTGTTCCACTGGGCTATATGTCTGTTCTTGTACCAGTACCATGTTGATTTGGTTACTGTATTAGTCCGTTTTCACACTGTTGATAAAGACATACCCAAGCCTGGGTAATTTATACAGGAAAAAGAGTTTAATGGACTTACAGTTCCATGTGGCTGGGGAAGCCTCATAATCATGGTGGAAGACAAGAAGGAGCAAGTCACGTCTTACATGGATGACGGCAGGCAAAGACACAGAGCTTATGAAGGGAAACTCCCCCTTATAAAACTATCAGATCTCATGAAGACATATTCACTATTATGAGAATAGCACAGGAAAAACCGGCCCCCATAATTCAACTACCTGCCACTGGGTCCCTCCCACAACACTTGGGAATTGTGGGAGATACAATTCAAGATGAGATTTGGGTGGGGACACAGCCAAACCATATCAGTTAATGTAGCCCTGTAGTATGGCTTGAAGTTGGGTAGCATGATGTCTCCGGCTTTGTTCTTTTTGCTTAGGATTGCCTTCGCTATTCAGGCTCTTTTTTGGTTCCATGTAAATTCTAAAATCATATTTTCTAGTTATGTGAGGAAAGTCAATGTTAGCTTAATGGCAATAGCATTGAATTTATAAATTGCTTTGGGCAGTATGGCCATTTAAAAATGATATTGATTCTTCCTGTCCATGAACATGGAATGTTTTTCCATTTGTTTGTGTCATCTCTCATTTCTTTGAACAGGATTTTAGTTCTCCTTGTAGAGCTCTTTCACCTCCCTAATTAGCTGTATTTCTAGGTATTTTATTTTTTTTGTAGCAACACACATCTATTTTTGATTTCTGCTGAGATGGCTGAGGGACTCAAGAGTCACATGCCTCATCTCTTCAAATAACTTTTTATGTGAATGAATAATCTGACCTTTCACTACTTCCCAGGGAACTTGCAAAAAGTCTTGGTTGTCTCTACAAAGCACACGTCCCTGACAATGAATCTCCTTATTTTATCGTGTTTTTTGACCTGGATAGGCTGAGAATTTTCTAAATCATCAAGACTTCATTCTTTTTCATTTAACAGCTCTTCCTTCAATATACCTCTTCCCTCTTGCATTTTACTATAATTAGCAAAAGATACCACAACACACTATGATCACTGTATTTGGAAATCTCCTTAGCTATAGATCCAGAAAGTTCTGCTTTTCACATGAGTACAGGACAGGCCACTATATAATAAGGAGGCCTTTTCCACATCTTTCTTATGTCCTTCTGAGCCCTCACCAGTAACACAGTTAACCTCCATATTTTTACTAACAGCCTGCTCATGATGATCCAGGTCTTCTCTAATGCAATATAGGCTTTCTCTCTCATGTTATTTACTTCCTTCTCAGTCCTCACTAGCACAGTCTTTAGCATCCATGTTTCTACTAAGAACTACTTAGGGCAATATAGGCATAGAACTCTGGCATTAAAAACATATTTGTAACACCAAAAGCAAGTAAATTCTTATTTATTCTTACTTTTTTTCCTCTTGGGTTTTCCCAAAGTAGAGTTGTTTCCAATATCCACAGTATCTAGAAAATAACAAGTTGTAGTGAGGTAATAGAAATTAATAAATAAAAGTTACAGATTTTAGGACAATTTATACCACAGAAGGCTTGAGTTTATAAAGATGTTTAGATAATCATTCCTCTCTTTCTTCTAGAGGAATCAAAAACCTACTGAACTGAGAACTAGGAGTCTAGAATGGACCCTGGGTCTTCTATCAAAAATACGTGTTGGGCTAAGAAGAGTAGACCTGCTGTCTTTCCTCCTGACAATTAAGTACCAGGATTAGTTGTCTTTTAAGTGTGGCCTTTCTAAGTTGTAGCAAAGTGACACTATTATCTACCAGCAGAAGTTCACTGGGGTATCCTGGGCTTCATGGAAGATTGGGTGTAACTTAATATACTAATGCAATAAACAAGATAACTGCATTTCAAAGAGTACACTTCTATGACATCATCTATGTCTAATCAGCAGAGTCCATCCTCTTAAATATTACTTTATAGCTATCTCCTGCCTCCCTGCAGTTCCCCAAAGGCTCAGTTGAACCAAATGCAAAGAATAGGATTCTAGACAGACTGGAGCACCTACCTCCACCCTACTGGGGGTCTGTGGGGCCCACTGAGCCACCCCCATCCCACAGCCCTCAGACAGCCTTACCCATTGTGCCACATGCTTGATCACTTTCCATCTTTACTTCTGGGCCTCCTGGCACCTCTTCTGAGAAACACATGACACAGGAACACTTCTCATTTTCATATGCTGATTGCTCTGCTCCTGGGCCAAAATTGTGATTCATGAAGACTTTCAGTTTGACACAGTGACTCTCTTTTCTGCACCCTTGTTGCTCCCCTTCTTTACTTTTTCCTCTGAAATCTTCTCCTTTCACTGCTCCTCCTTACATTTGATTCTTCCTTTAAGTCTATTTTTTTCTCCTCTTTTTTCTCTTTATCAGAACTCTGTTTCCATTTTCACTATTTTTAAGTCATAATTACCTGATACATCATCATGTAGCAGGCTAGAAGCGAGCTCTTCTGATTCTCCTTCTTCATTCATTGGGTGATCTTCTAGTTCACCAGACACTAATGAGAAACAAGAAAATTACTGTCCAAGGATCCTGACACAGTGACCAGAGAAGAGTTTCTAGTGCTGTCATACTACAAACTGATATTCTGAGCTAAGATGAACTGTTCTCTGGAAAAAAATATATTTTCTCCAATAATCACATTTGACACTTAACAGAGCCATGCTCTCCCCATGTTATGCACCTCATCCTCCTTTTTTCTACTTTTATTTTCGTACTTGTAGTACTGAGAATAAAGCAAGAAAATTCTCATCATTCCAGAAAATACTACTGTTCTTTGACAATAGTAAAAAGCAACTATTTAAACTCATCCCAATTGGCCATTGACTACTTATATCACTAACCATATTTCTGAAAGCAAGCCCATCAGTGGCAGTTCTACATATCTGAAGCCCAGCCGTCAGCAACAGCCCCCTCCACAAAGCCTGCATTGATGGCCAAATGCTAAATTACTCATAAACACTCCTGTTTCTGAAGGTCTGGGGTCCCTAAACAATATGCTTCCTAAAACTCTATATAAAAATGCAGTTTCCATTTCTATAAAGACTGTGTCTTATAAGCACAGGGCCTCCTCCCACCAGATGCCTTGCTTGGCAAGGAATAAATCAGCTTTAAGTTTTAGTTAATGAGTACTAGCCTAGCCCTTCAAAAATTGGAGTTCCTGCCGAGATAATCTTGAAGATTCTTGCTGGGGAGTGTCCTGTGGGGCCCTTGGATCCACAAGCATGAATCTCAGGCCACTGTGTCCATCTCAGGCCATTTTTCTGATCTACTGCCAAGTGAATCTTTCTCAGAAACATCTTGAACCATCTGACTTGTTTCATTGAACTCTTAGTTCTGAATTTATCTTATTTAAAGATGGGCAGGGCATACAATTAGATAGAATTAGATATTTTGGGTTGGAAGTACACCACTTAGCAAACATTTTCTCAGTTAATGTGCTTATTTATTCACTACTTCATCCACTGTTACCTTTCTTTTGTCTTTTTTTTTTTTTTTTTGAGACAGAATTTTGCTCTTGTTGCCCAGGCTGGAGTGCAATGGTACAATCTCGGCTCACTGCAACCTCCACCTCCTGGGTTCAAGTGATTCTCCTGTCTCAGCCTCCCAAAGTAGCTAGGATTACAGGTGCCCACTACCACACCTGGTTAATTTTTGTATTTTTAGTAGAGAGGAGGTTTCACCATGTTGGCCAGGCTGGTCTCGAACTTCTGACCTCAGGTGATCCACTCACCTCGGCCTCCCAAAGTGCTGGGATTATAAGTGTGAGCCACCGCACCCGACCTCTTCTGTCTATTTTTAAAAAGTCTTATCTCTGCTGGGCATGGTGGCTGACACCTGTAATAGGTCATATTACAGGCAGATTGCTTGAGCTCAGGAATTCCAGACGATCCTGGGCAACATAGCAAAACTCTACCAAAAAAAGTCTTATTTCATGTGTGTTTGTTCCTGATTTTCCTGTGCTTTCTGAATGTTAGAAGATAGTGATCCAAAGCAAACAGATGGTGGCCAAGGTCTGCTAAGTCCTCAATTCAAGTCAGCCCCCAAAACTAATGGATGTGGGTCCATTGGACAGTAGCCAAACTGTGCAAAGATGTTTGGCCACACTTTATCTTGAGTCCCTCATCAAAACCTTCATGAGGGCACCTAGTGTCTTGTCAATTTGTGAAAGAAAATCATTTTGTTTAGTATGCAATCTGGAGTCAACTACAATCATGTAATTAATCGTATGTTCCCTTTTCAGTTACTGCTTCATTCATGTGGAACACACCATTCACACTTGTACTGAAACATAGCGGCCTCTTTGCTGTTTGTCATGGGATTGTCTTTGCCAAAGCCATAATCTCCCCCTGACAAAAGTTTCACTTCCTCTGTATACTTTCATCATGATTCTAACTCTTGTACTTTTCTTAATAACTGGCAACATTTTCGCTAAAATGACTCTGGCTTATGATGGGGAAGTTTTGCCATGTCCAAAGTAAGTAACACATTTGACAAGTAGATCTATAAAAGAAGAGAAAAAAGTCACCAAATGTTCCCACGTCTCAACCAGTAACCCGTTACTTTCAGACCATTATCTGAAGAACACTCTTTTCAACAAAACCTCTATAAATGTAATAGGCAGGGATCTATTCTGCAAATGGAACTACCAGATTAAAGGTTCAGAAGAAGGACTAATTTTAGAAGTTCTGGAAAATTCCCTGACACATGATCTATGTATAGTTGACCTGAACATTAGTATACCTACACTATGCATGATTTGAGATCTGCAAGCAATAAACAAAATAGGTATACCTCACTTCCCTGTACCTCCTAACCGGATTACTACGATCTCTTCAGTCTCACCTAAAGCCAAAATTTTTCATGTATTTATATTCAGCTTTGTTTAATGTCTCATTTGATAAATATTATTTGCTTGGGAAAATCAATGGCTCATCTGGACAGTTATTTTCTAGGAATTTCCTTGATGATAGGCAGAATTCTAAGATGGCCCCAAATATTTCTTTCCCTAATCCTGAGGACTGTGAACATGAGATATTACTTCCATAATTGGCAGAGCTGGCCTTAAGAAAGACTAACAGAGTGGATCTGGTCTAACCATATGAGCCTTTTAAGAGCAGGAAGTTTTCTCTAGCCAGCAGCAGAAGCGGAAGTCAGAGATTCAAAGAATGAGAAGGATTCCACACAAGATTGCTGGCTTGAAGATGGAGTGGAGCTCCAGGAGCTAAGAGTGGTCCGTGACCGACAACCAGTAACAAAGCAGTGACCTCAGTTCAACAACCACGAGGAGCTGGATTATGTCAACAACCTGGGTGAGCTTGATTGCAAGATGTTTCTCAGAGCCTTCAGATAAGACTTCAGCTGGGCTGACATCTTAATTTCAGCCTAGGGAGACTCTAAGCAGGGAATTGAGTTGAGCCCACCCACACTTCTGCTGGCAGGACTGTGAGATAACAAGCAGGTATTGTAGTAAGCCACTACATTTGTGGTCATTTGTCATGCAGCAATGAAAAACGAACACAATGAAAATCCTCTTCCAAGTTTTAAATACAACCTAAGAGATACAAAGCTCAGACATGCATCTTCTCCGATCCGAGACATAGGTCACCTCTATTATACTCTACAGATCTGGATATTTCTTTTTTTTTTTTTTTTTTTTGAGACGGAGTCTCGCTCTGTCGCCCAGGCTGGAGTGCTGTGGCCGATCTCAGCTCACTGCAAGCTCCGCCTCCCGGGTTCCCGCCATTCTCCTGCCTCAGCCTCCCGAGTAGCTGGGACTACAGGCGCCGCCACCTCGCCCGGCTAGTTTTTTGTATTTTTTAGTAGAGACGGGGTTTCACGGTGTTAGCCAGGATGGTCTCGATCTCCTGACCTTGTGATCCGCCCGTCTCGGCCTCCCAAAGTGCTGGGATTACAGGCTTGAGCCACCGCGCCTGGCCAGATCTGGATATTTCTTAATCTATTCATTGAGTTGGGCAAAAATGGACACAAAACTTCTAAGGAAAAACTCCAATTCTGTAAAACAAACAAAATGAAACAAAACAAAAACTAGGCTATTTTCTCAGCCATAATCTATTGGCTGAGGAAATAATATTATATAAAGAAATGTTACAATGTCTCCAAAGTTTTCCAAGACCAGTGACTAAAGGTAAGATAAGAGGATTTCCAGGATTAACTGAGTCTTGAAGACAATGGCGGTCAATGTTTTCTGAAATACCAGGCCTCCCTACATTTGACCACATCAAATATCTTGGGGCCATTCTCATGGAACACACAAATGGAACAGATCTTCATGATTGTAAAATACTCCTTCATCAATCACCTACACCGAATCCTCTATTATCACATTATCAGGAGACAGGTCTCCTGTCTCCCTTTCTCATTTATCATAATCCTTTTCTTTTATACGTACATAAAAAATAGGCCATGGTTCGTGACCAGCCTGAGCAACATGACCCTCTGAAGGAAGCAGACTGCAACTGCAGGACCCAGGAGACCCTCCCTAAAACTGTGAGGGCCCCAACTGCAGAAGCGAGAAAAGGAGACCCTCCTCTCCCAAACACACACCCCCACTGGAGAAGCTGAAGGTCTGTTTGCAGGAGAAGTTTCCAACTTTACCTGGAGCTGAGTCAATCTGAAGAGGTGAGTGAAATACAGGGGTAGAGGAAGCAGCTGAAAGGCCCTGGGAGCTGGCTGGGTCCCCTAGCAGGCCATTCCTGTCTGGCACCACAGGGATGCAACAGGAGAGGAGCAGGGATTAAAACTACACAGGGAGAAGCATATCTCTAGCTGAACTTTGCAACAATTTGAACAGGAGTGAGAAGCCTCCTGCACCTCTTGTGAGGGTGCAAATCTGGTATGCAGACTCCGCAGGTGGGGAAGAACTAAGCCTTTTTCTTTTGCAGCTGTGAGGCCGATAGCCTGGGGCAGGTTTTCAAGCCTGGAAATGGTCTGGGGGCTGTTGGGGTGGGGCATGGTGGGAGTGAGTCTGGCCCTTTGGTTTGCTTGGGAGCTGGGTGAGGCCTGTGACTGCCAGCTTTCCCCCATTTCCCGGACAACCTGCATGACTCAGCAGAGGCATCCATAATACTCCTAGGTACACAACTCCAGTGACACAGGAATCTCACCCTCATCCCCCATAGCAGCTGCAGCAAGACTTGCCCAAGGAGAGTCTTAGCTCAGACATGGCTAGCCCCTCCCCCATCTGATGGTTCTTCCTTATCCACCCCGGTAGCTGAAGACAAAGGGCACACAATCTTAGGAATTCTAGGGCCTGCCCACCACCGGTTCCTTCCCATAAAACCACAGCTGATATTCTCTGGAAAGCGCCACCTCCTGGCAGTAGGCCAACGAGCACAAAAATAGAGCATTAAACCACCAAAACTAAGGACCCCCATGGAGTTCATTGCACCCCTGTCACCTCCAGCAGAACAGGCACTGGTATCCACAGCTGAGAGACCCATAGATGGTTCACATCACAGGACTCTGTGCAGACAA